GTAATATTTTTTATTTCCAATGTGACCCACATACATGAAAGTGAAAAGGAAATGTACAGAATAAGTGCCATCCATATACCACATAAGCAAGCGTTAATGTGTTATATTTCCTAAAATGCCTGTGAAAAAAACCCTCTCAGTCTTTCTAGACCCCATGAAAAAAACTATAGAAGCTTGGGATAAAAACAGTTTTCTTAATGTTTAACTAGAATTTGATCTTTTTTTTTATAGATTTTATGATGATCCACCTGTTCCTCAATGGCCAACAAAAAATAAAAGAGCTTTCATGGCCGTTTACTCCTCTTTTTTTCTGGTTCCCCCCTTTCTTGGTGGTGCAGTTCCCCATCCCGGCCGCCGGGGGGCGGTAAATGTCTTTCTCTTCTCCGGGCCGACACGACAGAAGAAGCGGGTCGAGTTAAACGTGTAAACTGCTGATCTCGCCGATGCCCAAAAAAGTATTCCAGTTGTCGTAACGCAGACGGCTGAGATGGATAATGACATTCTCATTTCTCTCGAGGACTTAGGGTAAGTGGAGGAAGAAGAAAAGTTGTCGTGCGCGTGGAGCCCTGTTGAGAACTCCCGTTTTTCGGTGGCCGGCTCCGTTTCTCCCCCGTTAGCCGGTGGCAGGGGTCCCGTTAGCTTGTTGCTAGGCGGCTGCTAATTGTTTCTATTGAACCATTGTGGGGTTGAGACGCAGGAGAATGAGCCGCCTGGTCTTTTCCGGGCGCGGTTAAACGCACGCGGGTTGTGCGTGGCCCGTCCGGAGGTCAGGTGACCGACGGCACCTGAACCGGGCGCCGGTGTTCAGTCAGGTCAGCATACCCCCGTCAGACCAGCACACCCGTAGTCAATGCGCATGCGCAAGACGTGACAGATTTTCGTACGGGGTAAAACTAGTCTGACAGTATAGGTGTCAGATTAGCATACCCCCGTCAAAACGGTTGTAGTTGAAGGTAAACGCACAAACTTACCTGAAAAACCACACCGAAAGTCAAGTACTTTTGTTTATTTATGGGTGATGTAGTAAACAAAACGTTTTAGTCAAGTACATTTGTTTATTTATGGGTGATGTAGTAAACAAAACGTTTTAGTCAAGTACTTTTGTTTATTTATGGGTGATGTAGTAAACAAAACGTTTTAGTCAAGTACTTTTGTTTATTTATGGGTGATGTAGTAAACAAAACGTTTTAGTCAAGTACTTTTGTTTATTTATGGGTGATGTAGTAAACAAAACGT